GGCTAATGTAGAATCGACACAATTTGCAAAAAAAAAATCGTGCTCAATCTTATGTTGGTTTTCTTGATTTTTCTCTTAAATTTTGCTGATTAGTTTTTATTTAAGTATAGGAAAGTATTTAGGAAATTCAGTATTTTAGGAAATAATAAATTACGTAAAATAGAAAGAGAATGGATGAGAGAACGAAAAGAAAGAGGGAGAAAGAGAAAGGTATTATACACTACTCGCTTGTGTATGCGACTGTCGCGCCTGCGCACGTCTCATTTAACGGTTTTATTTCACGCACTTTTTTCCATTGATTTTTTCCACGGATTTTTTCTTACGGTTTTACTATCACATTTTTTTCAGTTCGGTCGCGCAGCAAAATCCCTATCCCCTCCAAGCCTGCCGTAAGGAACTTCGTTCCAATAACACTCGTAACAAAAACTAAATTTAAAACAATAATAACAACTCGTAACAAAAACTCAATATAAACAAAGGGTTCCTACAACTTTAGTAGGCACATGTGTAACCGGGAGCGAACGGAACGTGGACGCGGTGCGGGAGGGGAGAGTCGACTGACTCACCAATCGCGCGCTCGGAACGGTGCTACGTCTTTCCCCGCGTCCCGCTTGACAACCAAAGAGACCTAAAAAACGACTTCTGCGCATCTAGCGACTCTTGCCAAGTTACGTGCCGGGGACTATACCTCATTATAACCAAGAAAAAAAATAAAAAATAAAAAATGTTTGGGGTGGACAGCCCTTATCACTTAGGGGTATGAAATATAGATAGTAGCCGATTCTCAGACCTACTGAACATACTATTGATACACAAATAAAACCAAAAAAACATGGCTGGCAAGCTACGATTGATACACAAATAAAACCAAAGAAACATGGCTGAAAAATGTATAGTGAGTAAGACAGGAGACCGGCTTCGTCCTCATCCCTACTACGTGATGTTTGCTGGATGAGTGGTGACACCTGGCGGGGATAACTGATCGATTGATAGTTGATCAGTAGTCGACCGGCGAGGGCAGGAGATCAAATTGAATTAAAAAAAAAACATAATTAAGGGAACTTGAAATTATAAACTCTGAATAAGAATTTATCGTACTACAATTATAATATTTGATTGCCATCTTGCAACCTTATTGCGGATCTGTGCATAGAATAAAAAAAATAAAAATCGGGATGGAAAAATAGGGGTTGATCGTATAAGAGTGAAAATTGAGAGTAATATATATTTTTTTTTTTTAAGTCATGACAAAATAAAAAATAAAATCTTGCCAAAAAATTTAAAATTTATAATTAACAAATAAAAAATAGGGGTTGATCGTAGAGGGGTGAAAATTTCAGAGTAATATGATTTTTTTTATTCTAAGTCATGACAAAATAAAAACAAAATTCTTGCAAAAAAATTTAGTTTTTAATTAGCAAATAAAAAATAAGGGTTGATCGTAGAAGGGTGAAAATTGAGGATTGTATGTATTTTTGTATGTTGTATCATAAAAAAATAGAAATTAAAAATTTTGTCTAAAAAATAAAATAAAAAATTTAGGGGTGGACTACCCCTAACATTTAGGGGGATGAAAAATAGATGTTGGCCGATTCTCATAGATACCGGATAAGCACAAAAAATTTCATCAAAATCGGTCAAGCCGTTTCGGAGGAGTATGGCAACGAAAACTGTGACACGAGAATTTTATATATTAGATTATATAATATAAATAATTAATATAAATATACGCTTGTGATAAAAGCAACAACTTTAATGGTTGTTATATTTGTATCTAGGTTTTTTTTTATTGCTTAGATGGGCGGACGAGCTCACAGATCACCTGGTGTTAAGTGGTTACTGGAGCCCATAGACATCTACAATGTAAATGCGCCACATGCGTCTCAGTATAGTTACAACAGCTACCTCACCCTTCAAACCGAAACGCATTACTGCTTCACGGCAGAAATAGGCAGGGTGGTGGTACCTACCCGCGCGGACTCACAAGAGGCCCTACCACCAGTACAAAAGCGGTTTGGTACACACATTAAATAGTGGAATTACAAAAACCTGGTACTAACATTAATATCCGTACGTATAGAAATGTCAGCGTCACCAATCAGGACGGGCTGGCATTCACTGCAATGATAAATTCGATATTACGAAGTTCGTTAATACGCGTCGAACCTGTTCACTCTACGAGTCGTACTTTCAAACGCTTCAGTGTATTTACATGTATTGAATACACATAGTCTAGTGATTTCGAACAATATTTGGTCTTCGCCCGCGCTCTCTCGTGTGGAAAACGAACAATCGCTCCCATTTATTATACTATGTTCGGTTGAGACGAATTTACTTTTATGGATGAAAAACGATTTTGGATTCGTTAGCCGACCTTAAGACTTCAAGTGAAATTCAATGGGTTCTTTTTTCTTAGTTGTTCGCATTTTTATTGCATAAATAAATAAAATTTCTTTTTTTCGTTTTTATTAAATTATATTATGATATACGTATTTACGTTATTTTGGAGCGATTTTGATGAAAATGCAATTTGCAATAACTGGATGGCAGATTTGAACTTTGACTTTACAATGGATCAGCCAAACAGTTTAGTTACTATTTCAATTTATAGCTATAATAACATTGGGGAGAATACGCAATATGATATATTTTGATATGTTGCATTGCCAAGCTGGCTCCTATTTTTCATCTTATACTGGGTAATTGTCCATCATTTGTATCCATTGTCCATTTATAATTAAATTTTTACGGCATAGAACAAAAAAAGGCAAATAATGGCAAATAGAAATGGCATTAATCCGTTCCAGCTCCCAAAAAACCAACTCAGTTGTTTTTGTTAAGTGTTTTTGAATACAAAAAATTTGTATTTACAAGAAGAAAAAAATATTTATAAATGCATCTATACTAATATATAAATCTACAGTGGTTTTTACGGATGTTCCGTTACAACTACTGAACCAGGTATCCGATTGACTTTTTTTTGTTTTTTTATTTATTGCTTAGATGAGCGGACGAGCTGTGAGCCCACCTGGTGTTAAACTTGTGTGTTAATTTGAAACTTGGTATCTATATAGAAAATACATGTACTTAATGAATAGGCTAATATTTATATGAGTGTTGGACTCCCTACACCCGTTTGGGGGGGCGTTAATGATGAGAATCTTTATGGGAGTGAGAAATAATAATGTTAATTTTAAATGCACAGCGAAGCGGACGGATACAGCTAGTATTCTATAAATATGATAAAAGAAAAAGTGAAGTGAAGATATCGATTTCTTCTTCTGACAGATGTTTATAAAAATTTATGTGTTTTAAATGTACAAAAAGCAAAAAATGCGAACCCAACTTATGGGAAAAGGGGAAAAAACACTCAGACTCTAAGATTGGAGAAACTGTGAGGTGCATGTTGAGGTCATGTGCAGTGAAGTAGTGTTCGGAGTTTACTTAAGTCACTACATGAATTTCACTCACCTTAAAAAAGCCTCAATTGTATAATTTAACACTTTTTCTAGCATTCAAACCGACCTACCTGCTTGTGCGAGTTTACAATAGGTACGCGCTACTACCAGCAATTGACGCTTAAATCGAAGCGCTACTACCAGTAATTGACGCTTAACGGCCGTTTTCAATAACGCATCTGAGTTTACGGATAGATAGCTATCTCCGAATATCAGCAAGAGCGTATCTATCCTTATTTTGCGTTTCACAATCACGGATAAGTGCTATCTCTCTTTAACCAACAGTAGATAACTTCTTCCCTCCGATTTATCCGAGCCTCTTGATACGTTTCGTTCTACTACAAATACGAAACAACATCAGGATCAAAACTTATTTTATTTTATTCTAAATTATAACTATAATTTAACCAGCATATCGTAGACTATCATAAACACATTTGTTTATAACAAAAAGTAATAAAAACATATGTAGATTTTTTTAAATTGGACGTATTGCTATTTTTATCCTAGTCGAAATTATGAAACGAAACGTTTTGACAGTCCGTTTGCCGATAAGCAGTGATCAGTTTCTTTTGTTTGTTTTTCTATTGTTTACCTACTATATTAGATGATGACTTACCTCCAAAACGCTTTAAAACTTTCGTTTATAATTCTAAGTGTGCTTATAATTAAAGAGCTACAGTGAAATAAAATGAATTCTGTAAGTATCTATGAACTACATTGATAATAATAATTTTACTTTGAAAACTTTGAGTTCAAGTTTAGAAAATATATCTTTTTCAGTCAAGAAAGGCAGCACCCATGACAAAAGATGAGACGATGATTCTAGCAGAACTTGTGGCGGCGAAAAAACATTTCAATAATAAGGCAACAAATGCCACAAACAATAAATTGAAGGAGCAGGCTTGGCAAACCCTTGTAAATGATTTTAATTCGTCGATTCGTCGTTTCCCACGAACTCCATCGCAGCTTCGACTAAAATGGGAAAACTTAAAGAACGCTACGGCAACATAAGAAACAACCTTAGTAAGGTTAGTATAATTAGTTGATTGTTTGTCTCTAATAACACATTGATAAACATGATTTTTTCTTCAGGTTGCCGTAGTATTTGAAATAATTATGCTCTTTGTTACAGGCTGGAGGTGGTAAGGATTGCAGATGAAATTTTGGATAAAGCATGCACATTGTTGTAGGTCACATATAATATTTTTAACACTTTTACAGCCAAGCGGAAACAAGATGGAAGAAAAGAAATGCAAGGCTAGCATAGGGACAATGCATTAGCAGAATATCTAATAGCAAAAAAGAGACTTGACTTGGAAAATAAAGAAAAGGAGATTGTTGTAGCAAAAGTTAAGTTAGATTTAGATAATTTAAAAAATTAAAAATTACTTAAAAGGAATATTAAATTTCATAAATTAAGTAGGCAATAATAATTTTATGTTAGATAGTTTTTTAAGTATATGTACAAATTCTAAATTAAATATCTTGCATGTACTAACTACCATGTAATTATCATTTTGGAAAATAAAAAATAGTCAAATTATCTTTGGAGTTTATTTTATAAATTATCTTTGGAAGCAATTATTTATAAGTACATAGTTGTATTTCAGATGTAAGTTTTGAAAAATTGTTACGAACAATTATATTATTTTCCTGTAATGTATCTGCGACTGAAATTTCTGATTCTAATTCTTCTAAATTCATACTTCTGACGATATTATGCAGCATGGCAGCTATAATAACAGCTTGCATATTTTCTAGTTTTAATCTACTTTTCAATGATATACAGGGAGTCTTCTTTTACAAACACCAATGCATCTGAAAATTATACATTATTCGCTTAAATTATTTTACAATACAGTATAACAAGCTCTTAACTAAAAAAAAAGATTACCTCTCTATAGTATTTCTTGTTTTAATATGTGATTCATTTTAAATCGTTCCGATTGAGTATGTGGGTTAATTAATCACGTTAAAAGATAGGGTTGTGGGGATAGCCTCTATCGGCAAGCAAATAGCAATTTCCAAGTCCACCTTGTTATCAATGTTCTCTTGATATGTAGATAATTTATTATAATAGTGTCATATTAAATTCATATAAACACCTAAATATATAATATAAATAAAGTAATATAAATAAGAAATACCTTTTCAATCGGAATGGTTAATTATAGTTGTATCATGAGTAGACCCAGGCCATCAAGCAACAACATTTTGAAACATCAATGATGCATTGCACACAAATTACACATTCAAAATACTCTTTTTCTATTTCTAAATTCCTCTCCTATATTTGAATCTGTAACACAAATATAAAATGTAGAGGTATCAGTGTGTAATAAGAATGAAGGTAAATAGCCTACCAGGTTATTGTATTAGTATATGAATGTCATTTAGGGCACCATGGGAATCCAGCAGTATTATAGAATTCCTGTTGAGTGTGATTTTGTAACACAACAAAAATTTGGTATAATTTTGCTATTGCTATAAACAAATATAAGTTGTAATAACGAGTACTTTTATGGTTAAAATTTATCTTACCTTTTTGACGTTACACTCAAATATGGTCTCATTAAATTAGTCAATTCATTCACAACACCTTTGCTCAGAAATCTATAGTCAAATTCGTAATTATTGATCTTCGCCATGTAATTCAGACGATCTGTATTTTCCTAACCATATGATATCGGCCTCACTATCACTATCTGCATCACAATCTATTATCATTTGAAATAATTCCATATCACTATCATCACTGCTACAATATTCCAATATGAAGAGAAACAATTATTAAATTATAGCGATTTACTTTCGAAAGATAAACATGTAACCGGCCGATTTTGACAGATAAGCGAATGCCCTTACTTGAGATAGCGTCGCCTACCGGAGAGTTACTTAAAACTCATATTGAAACGGAAGTAAGCACGATTTGTATGAGCGTTCTATCTTTAGCAGGCTATCCGTCCTCCCGACGATGGATAGATAAATCCGATAGGAACTGCTGTCCGTCGATAGGTTATTGGAACGTAAGTAAGGACAAAATAATAGATTTGTCTATCTTTAGTAACCGAAACTAGGGATAGATAGGATATTGAAAACGGCCGTAAAACGAAGCGCTACTTGGGCTTCTTTTGCCACTCGCCTGGTGTTAAGTGGTTACCAGACCTTCCCGACATGAAAACGTAAACGTGTGAAGTGAAGGCACCTTAATATATGAAGCCGCATTCTCTGTTGTATTCGAGTAAGTCACCGAATGTATATCGAGAAAACCGCAGCACTAGCAAACTATTCAAACACATTTAAAAAAGTAAAACAAATTGGCTATTTTATTTTAAAATTCACTAAAGAACAACAAAGAGTAATCCCGTAGCTGTAATGAAATGAAACAAGTAAATCCTACACGTACACTAAGTTTCATACCGAATGGGACGGACTTGCACCGAAATTATTAAAAATAATTGTCTTCTTTAATACACAATATGTAACACACAATAGACGACACCAAATATGTGTAAATTATAGGGGTCGATCTCATTGAATCGATCGAGTCGATCAAGTGGAATTCACATCATAGTGAATTGAGGTCATGGTCTAAAGTGTAAGACGTGCGGTGCATTCGTATCGAGCGATGAGACAGTGCCGAGGTTCGAATCCCACAGCAACACCATTTCGAGAAGGCACGACACGAGAGCCCCTCATCGTGGCCGCCGGTAACTACATTCCCGATCCTGTGGACCGAATGGTAAACAGTCGACGTCACCCTAAACACGTCATTTCGGATCCTCCTAATCCACTAACGGTGCTTTTAGGTACCTGAAACACCGGTAATCGCTCTCGTCGAACCCATCACTTTCGACTAAGGGCTCGGCGAGTAAATTTACCCACAGACACAGCCCACTGAGTTTCTCGCCGGAACTTCTCAGCAGGTAGCGTTTCCGATCCGGTGGTAGATTCTGCGAAGCACTGCTTTTGCTAGGGTTAGTGCTAGCAACGACGTCAGGTTCGAACGCCGTGAGCTCACCTACTAGTTCGGTGAATCCAGAATAACCCCTCGAGGTTACTAGAATAAGTAGGAAACCAAACCTGCAAGAATTATAATTTGCTTGATTACTAATGGCGTCTTACAAGCCCGCACGGGTAGATACCACAACCCTATCTATTTCTACGGCGAATTAATGCGTTCCAGTTTCAAGCGTTATACTATAGAGCTACGATCTCATATCTGAAGGTAGATGACTGCATTTAAGTTATCGATGTCCAGTGATCACTAACACCAAGTGGACCTTGATCTCGTTCACCGGTCTAATCAGTATAAAAAGGCGTGCTGATGTCCAAAGGCTCTGGTAACCGCTGAAGACCGCTATTAGATCGAGTACCCATCCCATGCAGAGGAAAGCTTTTACAATAAAATCTTCGTTGAAATTAAGTTAGCTACTCTGCGGTCAACCCCCCAAGTTAGCCAGCTCGTTACAACCCCCGAAAGCCATTGTTAGTTTGAAACAATGAGAGCTGAAACAAAGGAAGGCGGTGCCAGTGGCCACGACACCCTTATCTGCGTTCACCAATGTTGTCGGTGACTAATCCACTTGTTACTGGAAATCAATGAAAAGAGTTCCCGTTCAAAATGGCGTTCAGAGTATCATGCATTTTATTTTTTCTTCAGTATCTGTACTTTTGGCATCATTAAGATGTGGTCTAAGGGAGTTTACTTTTAAATTTTAAGAATTATATTTACCAAATTTCTAAATGACGATATCACTGACCGTAGCAGATACAGATATCATATTTCGAATCATTGACCCAGCACACGCGGCTTCGCTGAGCCCCAGCTGGTAATGACAATCTCTATGAGTTTTATTGAACAGTCAACATTGTCAGCGTGAAGCAAATGCTTGTATGCCTTTGAATCAATCAAATAGTTTTATCACCTCCAGTAGTTTTCTAATGTCTTTCCACATATTCTTAAATATTCTTCATAAATCAACCGACTTTTTTTTTTAAATATTGTTCTGCAAAAAGTATTTAACTTGGCATTTTGATCCATAAAATATTGATGAACGAATGAGAAGACGTCCAATGCATTCGTGTTGAGCGATGCAACGGTATTCGAATCTCGGGCGGGTACCAATTTTTCTAATGCAATACGTACTCAACAAATGCTCACGATTGACTTCCACTGTGAAGAAATAACATCGTGTAATAAAAATCAAACCCGCAAAATTATAATTTGCATAATTACTGGTGGTAGGACCTCTTGTGAGTCCGCACGGGTAGGTACCACCACTCTGTCTATTTCTACCGTGATTCGTTTCGGTTTGAAGGGTGAGGCAGCCGTTGTAACTATACTTGAGACTTTAGAACTTATATCTCAAGGTGGGTGGCGCATTTACATTGTAGATGTCTATGGACTCCAGTAACCACTTAACACCAGGTGGGCTGTGAGCTCGTCCACCCATCTAAGCAATAAATAAAAACCAAAAAGCATTTTAGTGCTAGCAAGCTTTTAAATGCAACATCAAAGGCACTGTCGTATGGCCAAGTCTGGCTCTAGAAAACGCCAAGTTTGGAAAAACACGAAATTTATAAGCGAAGTTAAACGTTCCTTACCTGTCTCTATAGTTACCGAAACTACGCTCAGCGCCCGTATATCCGCCTGTTACGAAAGTAAATAACTTCCACACACGAGAAAAAAACGAAACCCGAACAAAGACAAGTTTTGCAAGGAGCTAGATGCTCCGGAAAATATTTTATGTTTCAGTAAAGTATGTGCGAAATGTATGGATGAATGAAACAAATATGGAGTGTGACTGAGTGAGAGAAATAGGAGAGGTAAAAGAGACGGCGGCGGTGAATGAATGTTTGACATATAAATTTATTTTAAGCGAGAGGAGGAATTAGGGTATAATATATAGTTACCCGATGCAACGGTGTACAGACGGAGTGTAATTTTTTTTTTAGGAAGGTTGGATTACTGGTTTTCTATTGGTCTTTCCAGTTTCACCAGTACAGGTAGGCGAGCAAAGGCTCAGACAGGAGGGATGGGATTTCCTAACAGCTGCCCGAGCGCTTCCAAAGGAGACCTGACAACTCAAGAGCAGCAGCAGCTGCTTTGTAAATTAATCTACTACCGGATTGGAATCACAGCCCGCTGAGAAGATGCGGCGAGAAATTCAGCGGGCCGATGTATGGGTTAGGTTGCACGTCGAACTCTTTGGCGAGTTCGACGAGTACGGTTACTGGGTTCCCTAAGCCTGCTCCTAGTGTTAGAACTAAAGGCGTCTAGGGCTGAGGGTTATGGAACTGGTGGATCCGTAAGGACGTGCTTAGGGCGGTGTAGCTCTGAAGGCGAAAGACGTGTATATTTTATTTACTTTGCTGTACTTAATAAAGACGGAATTAACATCAATTTTGTGTGAAGAACTGTCGATTCGAATCGATCGGAGACAATCGAATGGAGGATCCCACATGTACCTATGTATATTATAAAATAAAATGTATTTCAAACTGTAATTGAGCATAAAATTTACATTTAAATATGAGCAGCTTTCCGTGGGCAGTTGTTCTCGCGTGGACTACAATTTACATCACGTGGGCGGACACCTATTAGTTCATTCCCCCGGCAGGGCGAAGAGATGGTAGTCTTGAACTATAGTATAATAATATTTTCCAGAGTTCAAACTATTTTCATAACAAGTTTGTTTAGTTGTTTGGGCGTGAACAAAAACAGAGTTAATTCTGTATTTAAAATATTAACATAAAATTTCATTCGTTACTTAATTATTTTAAACTACGTCACGATCGCATCAATCGAAAAGATACTATAATACTTCGGGGCAAAACCTTAAGCTAGAAGTTATTTGGAGCCTATAAATATCACGATTCTCTTAACTCCGAGCGCAAAATTTCATACTGAATTGGATAATACATTGAGATAAATTCTCCTCGGCAAGCATGGTATTAGTAAAAAATCTAGGGAATAATGAAATGATTAGGTAGTGGGAAACTTTATTGTGTTAAATTAACGTTGATTCTATGATGATAATAATAGTTAGCTCTCAGACTAGAAAAGTACTTGTAATCGCAGAGCCCCCAAACTCGGCATCTCCGGTGGACTGTGAACTCTCTAACTGCCCCACCGGGACACAGACGACGCACTCCACGTTGAACGGGCTCTATCCCAAATTAATTTATATCTCAAATACTTTTTACTGAAGATAAACAAGGAGATAATAATGATTTAGAAAAATCGCAATATATTTGGCATGTACCTACAGCGGACATGACGTTTTTAAAATTAGAAATTTATGCAGTCGCACTACTGATATATACCTAGTACCCGCGAAACAGTTAACACGAGGATTAGGACACATTGTTTTTTATTGTTTTTATTCTAAATATAAAGTTCACTTAATTGACTTCATTAAGTTGTCTTGAATGCTGGTAGTTTTATTTTGTTCATCATATGAACTATTATAGATCTTCATAAG